AACCTCTGATGGACTCTTCAAAGGGTACGATCCGTCCATGAGATAGGGTTTATTTTATACATTTTTACTATACATTTTCATCTTTTGAATAACGAACTTGTACTAAAACTAACTTACACATGACAAAGTAAAGTTGATTTCAGGCTTTTCTTTATAAGACTTATTTATTTTCGATGCTCAAATAAATTTTATTTAAGTGTCTTTCTGACCTTGCAACAACTGTAGGAGGGTTCTTAAAGTAGCTTAGTACAAGTAACTTCTGTCCTTATCACACATAATTACCCTTCTTTCTAGTCATGCATGTAGTCCAACAATTATCAGCTTTTATTCAAGTTGGCTCGTTTTTTATAACACATCTAATTGTTTGTTTTCGTCCTGAATATGTTTAAAACAAGTGCCACTTGACGTAAAGTTAGCAATTCAGATAAGATAAATATTTGACTGTGGAGCCATTTATAGGGAAACGGCTTAATTTGACATTGAAAAGATAACGCAGTCTAAGCTTAGCTCCTTTGATTCTTTTTTTAATGGTGTTTAATGAAAGACAAATAGACATTTGCGGAGATTGTCATGCACCTACGACTAGAGATTTACAATAAGTGTATGACTCTGACTCGAGTCCGAACACGAGTCAGAGTAAGATAGTTTAAATGATGGGGACGATGTCAAAATAATAAAATTATGGTAAACATTTTACTTAAATCATTATAGTACTAATTGAAAAGTTGTTTTCGGCGATTGAAAAAACAATTACTACCACAAACTTTTACTATGGCGTTAGGTGTGTGACGGGGAAAAAGTTCCAATGACTTTATAGCTTCTCAATTCGCCAATAACAGTACAACGGAGACTCGGCATTCTGCAATGAGTCTGTTGAGCCTCCTAGACTTTCTCTGTTTGTGTTCCGGCTTTCTGGTTACCTGCTGTCTGGTGTATGTTGTGTATGGCTGATGAAATAATTAAACCTCTTTCTCTTGACGAGGATCGTAAGCAACCCACTCCTGTATGAACAGTAGACGAACCTGAACTTCAAACAATGGATAATGGGCCTGACAATGGAGGCATAAATGCAGGCGTGATGCTACAGCAAAAGCTGAAGAAATAACCACGGATGATAATGCTAAAGTCAGAACATGCCGATACTATTTGTGATGCTCTTATAAATCTTGAAGCTACAAGAAAAGAAAAACCCCGAACAAAAAGAAACAAAGAATCTTGAATGCAATTGGTTCGCAGTTATTATGAAAGATATGAAACTTTTATTGCAAAACAGGTTCCAAAATTGTTTAAAAGCTCTTCGAGTTCATTTATATTATTCTGAAGGTCATTAATTAGACTATTTTGATTCAAAATTATGAAAACAACAAGTCTTATTTATTTATTTTATTTACCAAAAAGGACAAACAAAGAAATAACTTAACATATAACATATAAACCATAAACATTTAACCGAATCGCTTTGCTCCTTTACACCATGAGTTTTGTATTGTACATCGTGTATCTGTGTTAAGTGGGTCTTGTTTTCTGGAAAAACAAATTGAGAAAAGCCAAATAGAGGCAAAAGATACTAAATGGACATTCATACTCATAAGTCGAAAATAAACTGACAACGCCATTGCAAAAAACGAAAAAGACCAAAAGACAAACAACGGTATGCAAAACACAGCATAGAAAACTAAAGACTGAGCAACACGAACCCCATAAAAAAACGGGTATGATCTCGTGTTCTCCGGAAAGGAAAGCAGATCCTGCTTCACATGTGGCACCCGTCCAACAATCATACAGAAAACTTAATGTCTGCCAAAAATAAAATAACATTTTCTTTGCCTGTATGAATAATTCTTGTCAGATTTTTATGAAATTTATATCAAATCTTTATATTAGGAATGTCTCGGACACTTCGAAAATCAGTGTTGATCAACTATTTTTAAAAGAGAAATGTCTCTTGGAAATATAGATTCTTTAGCAGGTATTTATAAAATTCGGTGTTGCCCTTGGACAGATAAAATATGTGCAACGCGGAGGACATCGAATCTCTATTCTTTTATTCACATCAAACTCAATGCTAACAGGAGAATGCATTACAATTCACTCGCAGGTAAAAAAAGTAATATTCCTAACCCAAAAAGGTTTGATACAATTAGCAATCATTCAATTGAAAATGTTTAACATATTCTTCAGGACTATATACATATTGGAAACAAATAGCCCCATAACGAAAAAATAAATAAAAATAAACTGAACAACAGTATTGTCCGATACCCTTTTGAATTATTCGTCAGTTATGATGAAAGGACTATTTTTTAAACTTGAAAGAGGTTATTTTATATACTAATGTATACAGATATATCGCCTTATTGTTCGCTGGCTTATTGTTCGCTAGTTATTGTTCGCTAGCTTCAGCCTGGCACTAATGTAAGCGATAACATTTATCATATAAATGAACTCTATGTTTTTTATGGACTTTTGTTTGTATTTTCGTCGTTTTTGTTTTACCATGGGGGAGTCTTTTTTCTTCGACTTATGGGTTCTAAAACCCCCTTTGCATCATTTCCTTGTTTTAAAAAAAAAATAAAGGTAACTTAAGTTGCATCAAACATATACATGCATTACATTTTAAATTAAATCAAGGATTTCAATGTTTTTTAAAAACGATGATTTTTTTTAAATATTTCTTCAGAAATAAAGTAGATATATAATACCAAATAAAACTATATTACATTATTTGTTTGTATAGATATTTGAATGCACACGAATATTAATTGGATCCGAATCTTTGAGATACATATTACATAATCGAACACATGACACATCATTTATAACGAAACATTTTTATATTTCATTAGGAATAAATTATAAGATGATATTTTAAAAAATCGCCAACGCGATATTTACTACATATATCGTTAACGTTAAAAAAAGTAAAAACATACCGTTTACATTATTTTGCAAGATTTAAACGTTATTGTTAAAAATAATCACACACTATTTAAGTCGGTTACTATATATCGCCCCCTTTTGTAAAGTGGATAGAACTATTAATACGCACGGCAAAAATGAATAAATGATAAGTGTATTTCGTGCATTTATTTTATTTTTCCCTGTTATGGATGAAGAACAAAGATTAACCATGCCAACATTACCTGCCCTGATGCAGACTCTACCAGATGTTATGGCACACATTTCATTCGTCATCTGATTCTAACCCTGGTAGTCCTAGCTTGACCACCAAACAAACCAATCTTTTACAATCACTGAATCAGGTTACTTCAAATTGTAGCCGATGTTAATGGTCTCTTCAGACAGAGAACTGGTCGGGATCATAAGCTTTCCCCGGGAAACAGAATTCTTCATTTATTTTATGGTTACAATCGTACCCGTCTTATCATATGATTTCTGAAATATTTGACGTTAGTGTTTCGACAACCAAATATGAAACACATACATGTATACCTATTACAAGAAACATATAACCGTCTTATTTATTGGCCTTCTTTGGATGATTAGCAGAACTTACAAGGTGGGTGGCCAAAAACATTGTCACTGCATTCACACTCAAGTTGTTATATTGAACGACGTCGACAGGATATGTTATATTGAGTGCGGATTTCTTAGGCATCAGCAATATATGTTGATGAGAAATGTAGGACAAGAATTACCTTGAGCTGTTTTTGCTAGGCGACAAAATATATCCGAACAGATATCCAGTATTGACACCTTACATAAGACAAACCTCGAATGTGCAGAGAAAGTGTAGAAAATTAAATAGGCATATTACACACTATAGCGTAGAGGTTGAACATGCCATCGGAGAATTAAAAAAACACAGTTATGGGGACTTTGTGGCGGTTCACATCTGTTGTGACCATTGATTTCTGCATTTGTGTGTCGTCGAAAAGACTTATTTACATGATAAATAAAAATCATTTCATTTTAATATGTATGTCAACTGGGTTGTCTTAATTTTTTTTGAGAGGATTCTTTGTTTTTCGTCAACTGTAATCGTATGTCTAAGTGTAATCCTAGGTATAGACCTAGTTTCCGCAAATGTCTAATATGATTGAGAGAAATCATTGAAATGTACATTTTATGGCAGAAATGTATAAATCAATAAATGGATATGAATAAACTCATCATGGATACCAGGAGTAAAATTTTGTACATCAGACGAGCGTTTCGTCTACAAAAGACTCATCAGTGACGCTCGAACAAAAAAGTTCAATAAGTTATATGAATGTAGACTAAATAGAATAAGCCTGTAGCATTTAGATGTCAAACTACATGTAATAAGTCTGTTACTTGTAGCTATAAGTGCCGGTAGCATTTCTATGTTAGACTAACCAAAATAAGTATGTGACCTCTAGCTGTCCGTAGCCTTTAGATCTTAGACTACATAGAATAAGTCTATGACCTATAAGTGCAGCCTTTTGATGATTGAGGCACCCGGAGATTGGCTAGACGACTGAGATTTTGTTATATCTCGAAAAGTTCATTTGATAGCTTAGCAGCTAAAATAATGAAGAAGATATCAAGGCCGGTATGGAATTTCTCTTGTTGAAATCGTGTCATTTCAAAGTGAAATTTCTATTATTTCCAAGATGACATTTTTCAGGTTCACGCACTTCGACAATAAACGTCTGGTCAGGGGTGCTCGAGGCTAAAATATTGGAAAATCCAAAACTTATTAAAAAGACGAAGAGCTTATAAACCAAAAAGGATGTGTATATCATGCTTCAAGATTTTAAATTGTATTTATTAATATTATGCTCCTATATTACTTTAAATTGTATGAATTACTAAATTGTACTACGTAATACATGCTATTATATTTATTGTACTTGATACATATCAGCTGTATTGCCTTTGGAATAATGAATATATCTTGTACATGTATATAATGTAAATCAAGACTGCAACAAACTCTTTTTTTAAATGATTGAAATCTCGTCATCAAATTAGACAAAGAGTAAAACATTCGTCAGATAAGGTCAATATGAAAATAAAAAGATGTGGTATGATTGCCAATGAGATAACTCTCCATCAGAGACAAAATGACGTAGAAGTTAACGACTATAGGTCACCGTAAGGCACAAATACACTTTTAATAACTTTATAAGAAGTCAAGGAAATATAATTGTCTGGTTCTACTACTTCGAGATCTATTTATGGTAAAACCTAGAAATAAGTCAAAGTAAGGGATAAAAAAGACCTAAGAAAACAAAATTAATGAACATTTTAAAGGTTATTCGATCATTATTGCAAGTTGGTTGACTATTTGGACTTTTTATGTGGTGTATTAAAATATCTTTCATCGGTATAGGTGTATTACCACCAAATCATTGTACGTCACATCCGGTTGCATACGAAAAAGGGTCGGAAAAAAATATTCCCTTGAATTTGATAGTTGCAGGAAATTAATCCTACATTTCATTGCAGTAACAAATTTCTGAGTCATAAACATATATCTTGGGTGTTTCAAAGCACCATTGTTTTTTTTATTTGGTGTTTCTATAGAATAATTTGAAAACTTGAGGTTACATGGTTACTAATGCTTGTACACAGGAAAAAAAAAGAGGTGAAGATTTGATTGGTTAACTTCCAGTGATGGTTATTATCTTATATGCAATGAAATGTTACGTGAAACTTTTACTGTAGTACTGGACAGGATAAAACGTTAAAGTATTTCTTTATTTGAATCAAAGATAAATTCTGCACAGTTTTTTAAAAAGTGAAAATTTAACAAAGACTAATAGGCGAAAAACAATGGTTTTATTACACCTATAAACAGAGACATATAATACAATGTATTCATATTTCTCTGGTATAAACGAGGAATGATATTTAAGTAGTCATATAAGAAGGGCAGATAACCGAAGCGATAGACAAGAGGAAGTGAAACCCATGGACAAAGACCTATCCGGGGCAAGAAAGGCACACACCGACAAACAATAGACACTCTTCATTTCTGTCGTATCATCGTTTTTGTTATATATGTTGAACTTGATGATAAAATTACATTTTAAGTTAATATAGAAAATTACCAGGAATTTACTATTTTCAGTGAATTTTCGTAAAAAAAAATCTCTCACCAATTATTTTGACGAATTTATCATTATTTGATCTCCCTCAATATCAAAATATATTCCAATTTCCCGCACTTTGAAGTTCATCATATTTTTATAAATTTATTGTTGTAATAAGATCTATTGACTTGATTAAAAATTAAGGACGTTGCTATTTTCGTTTTTTAGTCATGGGAAATTTCAATTCTCCTCAAAATCCAAGGTTTTCACCCAATATTAACAATTTCCCTTCTTCCAAACTTTCTCGATTTTTTTTATGTTCAACAAAACACAAAAATCAGCTGGAAAAACTTGAAGTACATTCTGTTGCAAATAGTTTGAGGTTTGGTCATAATTTGGCTATAGAATGACTGTATTATATGGCAGTATTTGTTATTTGATTGCTTAAGATTTAGGGGTTTGAAATCTTTTCTGTTAAAAGTGATAATGTTGTTGCTAAAGAAAATTCCAAAAGCAGATAATTGTTCAAATTAATGAACAATGGTACTCTTTAATTGTTCAAAATGTTTGCTTTCGTTATTTGCATTTTTAAGCAATAAATAGCCACATTTGTCATTGTTTGTATACATGGGCTGCCATTGATGCATGTAATTCACATAATTACTCTCTCGAAATTTCGTTAAAAGTTATTGGCAAAACATCAGCTGGTACATGTATGTACTGTTTTGTCGACGCCAACGACCCTCTACGTTTTTCCTTAAAAGTTTAAGTCGTTGAAAACCACCCACAACTATCAAGATTAAGAACAACGATAAGAGTGCAGTTATCTTATGTTCATAGTATTCACTCAATCAATATCCCTATCTGTCAATAAATTTGGTTTATTCTTTATTTTTTTTCCTGTATTATTGCTGTCTAATCAAGATTATTTTACTTGAATTCCTGTTCCTATAAAGTATGTACACAATAATAGCAAAAATGAGTAAAGACATTGTTTTCATTAGGACTCCGCGCTTGAACCATACAATATATATAATTTTACCGTCCCAGCTGTGCCATGATGACGCTCGGTGATGTACAATATATTCATTATTATAAGGTAAGGCTGATATTCCACATTTGTTTTCGAAACTTTTGAAACGTATATTGAAATAAGCTGTCCCAGTAGTATGCATATTATTCAAATATGGAAGCAAGTACTTTCATTTTGCATGAGGCAAACCAGCTATGACATGTGCTAGAAGCGGGTGATTGGTGGTTGCGGCAAAGAAGTTAATTGCGAACAAATCGAAATTATCGCCACTTTTTAATATAGCTTGGTGGTCTTTGATTAAATCATCAACCATAGACTGGTTCCAGAGAGTATATTTAAAGTCAGGACATAATTTAAACCAGGTCTGTTGAGCAAATTGGTATTTCTGTAGATGTGTATGACCGTTTTTGTTAATGTCAAAATAAATTTAATAAATATGACGTGGAATCTGTGAAACATCATCTCCCATTCGTAAGTCCGTTTCGCGACATTTTTCTTTTAATTGTGATTCGTTATTATTTCGTAATGAAGGAATCACATGTATGGTGCATAGGATAATTAAGACTGTCCCACATGCACAAAGTGCTGTCTTCTCTTTTGTCGTCACTATCATTTCTGCAACAACTAAAATAAAGATAATTTAAGACATTTCTATACAGAACTCTATATCGATTTTTACTTATACAGTTATTCATTCAAAGGATTGAGTTTTCGTTTATCAGTGTTTTATATATCAATATTTATTTTTAGAAGTTTTTTTATTTTGTCATTCCCTATTTGTACACAGACCGAAGACCTCGGAAAGCGTAATATGTTTGAAATGTATCGAAATATGTGGGAATATTATGTCCCAGAATAATCCTACTCATATCAAGTTACATGAAAATGTTACTAATATTGGTAAATTTTGAATATTAACTATGAATTTCGGTAAGGTCTCTCAAGAAACTAGGATGACGCATGAATATATATTGTTTAAATGAGCAGCTTGAATTTATACAAACAGATTATAGATATTCGTTATAGATGCTGCACTTTATAACATCATTGAGTTATTTTAATACTCTAAACTGTTGTTAAGTTTTTAGGTGAAGTTGTAATTTATCATAAGAATAATGATTTGATGCAATACTAAAAAAACTTTCTTACATTGCAACATGGACTCCAGTACCGGCGTGGAAAGTTGTCTTACTGGCAATCATGCCTCATTTCCTTATTTTTTTTTATACCATATCGAATGAAATTCTGTGGATGATTATGACATAGATGAAGAGAGCTGTTTCGATTAATTCTTAATGGTTCTTTATTGATTGTTTTGAACCTAGCTGAACTGTAATATACTATAGAACTAATGAAAATCATGTTTGATTTAGAGAAATAAAGTGTAGTCATTTTAACCTTATTCGTCTTATTTTCATTTAAATATCATTCTTAAAATAGTATATCATATGTAATAGATATATGGTCGAATAATTGTATATAGTATTTCCCTTTCACGCCAGACATGTGTATTTGTACACTTCAATAAATAATTATTAAATACATTCAGATTGATCTACAAATGTTTTTCAGATCGAATGTTTATTCGTCTTAATGTATGTGTTACTATAGAGAGATTTAATGTTCATCAACTGCTCCTTCATACATGGTTGACAACCATTTAAACCATGCATGGGCCATTCACCCTTCTGAACTCAATGAATAAACTACACAGCAGATGTATTTTTAGAATTATTTAAATATTTAGAAAATCACCAATTGATTTTTTTTCTTCGGAAGGTGTGGTCTTAAATAAGATAATTTCACGGCATCCAACAGAGTGTCTTAATTTTGCGGTTTTGTTTTTACATCTGAAAAGGAAAAGAAATATGTCGCCAACTCTTATTAAATCTGTTGAATAACAAAATATCTTACAAAACTAAATGCTCTTATTGATTTTATCTTTCGCTTCGTTTAAGCTTCTTTTTTTCAGAAAAAAACATTAACTTTCGCTTGTTCGCACTTTTATTAACATCACACAATTAGCATTGGAATAGTACAAATTAAATTAGTGTTACTTTACATGGGTATTGGCATTACAAACTGACCTGTTTGGAGAATTTCCATTTTATTTCATTGGCTGGACTTAAATTTTTAAACAGAAATCTATCACATATTCTATTTTTTTACAGAGTTATTTCATTCACGTTCAAATCAGAATTAAATTCAATATACAATACGAACTTTTATATGCCTCTCCAGTGAGAGATATGATGTATTTAACCTTGATCTTTCAACTTATTCTTGCTTCGATTATATTTAAGCAGGTCTGATATTTTCCGACTCTCGAGAATGTTCGACAGTTACACTGGTAGTGTTACAATTGCGGTTATATAAGTTGGAGGACGACTAGCCGTTAACTGGTAATTGCGTTCTTTTAAATACATTTTTGGATTTTTGGAATAATCAAATACATTTTAGTTTATGTAATTTATTATGTATGCAGAAGAATAGATATATTTAAAGTAGTGTTTATATGCTTTCCCAAAAGAGGAAAAGTAAACCTTATATAGCTAATTACATATTAACTGTAGCAATAGGAACAGTTAAAACTGGCCCATTAACGATGGAACTCTTCAAGCTCGACATCTGCGGAAGTCACACTAGGAAAATGAATTTACATTCTCAAAAACATTATAGATCTCATTGAAAATTATTCTTGAAAATAAAAGTGGCCAAGCACATAACATTATTCAGTGTAATTTCGCCACAATATCTATTGCCTGATTAATTAGATTGTCTACAATGCTTCGTATATTATTTCTTTCTGAAACAACAGGAAGCAAAAACTTATATAATGTTATCATAATGAAAGTATGTCTTACCACTTTACTTGGGTGCTTGAGAACATGACCCTTTATTGAGACCCCGTAGTTCCTCTACGTTGACAGTAAATATGTATATTTAAAGTAAACATATGGTATATTGATATACATACATGGTACAAATAAATGATATACAAGTATATTAGAAAATCGGGGGTTTATGATAATAAAGGGGGAGGGGCTCCGGGGGCTCAACATAAGGTCCTGTCCTCAAGCACCTATGACTACGTCTAGTTCGATTTTACTACAATATTTGGAAAATGTATAACATTTCATAGTACTAACCTTTGTCCTGGTATTTATGAATCGATTTAGAAATCGATTTATGAATCGATTATATCCTCAGCTTTAAAATGAATTGAATAACATGAAATACAAGTAGCGATCTATATCAGATGTGAAAAAGTCGACGGTCAAAATGTAGGTCGCTGGATTAAGTATGTGAAAGAATGGATTTTGAAGTCATGAAATAGAAGTTCCTTCATCAGTTCCAAATAAAAGAATGATTTATAATATTATTTTCACTGGAGCAAATATTACAGAATTTGTTCCTTACGGAATATTTGGTATAGAATATATGTTCCAATAGGAACAGATATTATGGCATTGTTTATAACAAAGTTTCAAGGGAACCTCTGTTGGTCAGAACAAATATACGTTGACAATTAAAAACCAATTGTTCAGAGAACAATTGAAGGTCTTTCCACCCATAAAGATCTATTTTGATATAGAACTATTAAAATTCGGTTTAAAATATCATATCCAGCGTCAAATGATAGCTTATTGTACACTGATTCCAAAAATATATGGTTTCTATACATTTTTTTTCTAAATAAGGGAGATAAATTGTTTCTTCCGGTTTGAAAAATGTCACTTTCAGGTTTTTTTATAGTTTACTTGATACTGATTCCAAAAATATATGGTTTAATATACTTTACATTAAATAAGTACAAAAAATAGCTACTTCCGGTTTACACATGGTCTCTTCCGGTTGGCTTTTCCATGGTCAAGTGGTTTGCAACGTAATGCAAAAAGTCCCATGGCTTTATCATGTATACATATGAGGTAAAAGCAAAGGTCAATATCTAGAACGTCAAATTTACCTATGACCTTGAGCTCAATTTCAAGGTCATAAACCAAGGGCTTCAAATCAAAAGACCATAGGTCTTAATTATATATGGTTAATGAGTTATATCACTATATGCCTAATTTTTAATATAAGAGGGGAGAAAACTCCAATTTAATGTTAGTGTACCCTTTCAACCGAAATTCATGTGTTACGACATGTCGCAACTTACAATTTAGTAAAAATATGTTGTTGATATCTTATACGGTTTTTGAAAAGAATTGAAAATAAGCCAAAATCAAAATTTAAAATATGACCTTGACCTCTGACCTTGACCTTATTTTCTTTTTTTTTTGACCAAGGACCTCAAATCAAAAGATCCTAGGTCTCTATCACTTATGGTTTACAAGATAGAAATGCATATCACTTATATCAAATGCATAAGGGGAAATAACTCTCATATGGAGTGTTTGTATGGCTTCGGTCAAAATTGGACAAATCATGCGAAGGATATAGCGAGCAATTTTATAAAATAAATTTGTTGCTTTCTTATACGGTTACGGAGGAGATGCAGTCACAAGGAAAACAGTGTTTGGGGAGATAACTCCTACAAAGAAAAGTATTCGGTTACGCAGGGTGAATTTCAAAGGCGCATAAACTGTTCGATATCATATACCAAACATCTAAGCGACATCTTGCAAAACAAAATTTATACGCAAGAAATAAAAGTGGCAGAAGAAGAAAAAAATAATAATAATTAAAAACCAATTGTTCAAAGAACAATTGAAAGTCTTTCCACATCAATTTTCTAAATAATTGACGAGAAGCTAATTCTGGTTTACTCAAAGCTACTATTGGTGTCCAATCATAGGTTTCTTCATACTGATTCAATAAACATATGGTTTCTATAGACTTTTGCCTGTAATAAGGGAGATAATTGTCAACTTCCGGTTTAGAACATGTCACTTCCGGTCTCATATGATAGCTTTATTTACACTGATTCCAAAAAAATATGGTTTATATATACTTTTGCTTGTAAAAAGGGAGATAATTTGCTACTTCCGGTTTAGAAAATGTCACTTTCGGTCTCATATGATAGCTTTATTTACACTGATTCCAAAAATATATGGTTTATATATACTTATGCCTGTAATAAGAGAGGTAATATGCTACTTCCGGTTATAAAAGATCACTTCAGGTCTCAAATGATAGATAAATGTATGACCAGTCAAAAAATATATGGTTTCTATGTACTTCTACATGAAATAAGTGCAAAAATGACTACTTCCGGTTCATTCAAGGTCACTTCCGGTTGACATTTTTCAAGGTCATATGTCACCCAATATTTTGCAAAAGATCTTATGGCTTTATCATGTACCAATATGAAGTAATAATCAATTTACCTTAAAATAAAACATTTCAGAGGCAATAACTCCAATAAGATGTCGCTGGATTGTCTCAGACCAAATGTATCATATCTTCATCACAATATAACAAAAATTTTCACTTGTTCTTTAATATATAACATTAAAAATATCGGAGAAAATGCAAAAACAAGCAAAAGACAAAATTCAGAACATGACCTTGACCTCATTTTAGAAGTTAGGATCCAAGGACCTCAGATAAAAAGACTATAGGTTTATACAGCCTACAGTTTATGAGTAACAAAAACATAACGGCAAATTTATTTCATA